CCCTGTTTTGAAGCCGTTGCAAAAACATCTTTATTGCGTCTTTGCAGATGAGGCTTTTGTCGCATAGACGTCGTTATTGCGTCTTTCGCAGGTGATATTTTAGTTGTGAAAGTATCGCATCACGACGTCTTAACGACGCCTAAATGTTCGCAAAATTCCCCCTTTTTGCAGCAGTTGTAAAAATGTCGTTATTATGTCCTTATATTACATATTGATTTATGCAGAAAAATAAGCTTAATAATTAATGTATTTTTCTTCTTTTTTAAAATTTTTATTCCTTGTATTTATCTAAAGTTTAAATATTTTATCATTTTCTGAAAACCAGAAGATAATACAATTTTTTCTCTTTAGATAAATATGCATAATTAATAATAGCCTTAATTATTTTCATTACTTTAAACTATATTTTTTAAATAAGTTGAATTCTAAATTACGATTATTTAAGATTTCATTAATTTTTTCTCTTAAGTGAGAATAATTATGAAAGTGGTTATTAGAAATATATAACATTAATAGTAGGTTTTAAGTAAATAAATCAGACATAAATAAAAGTAAAGATATATATCTGGATAAAAAAAAGAGCGTTTCTGATAGCAACATTATCACATTTATTTCTGTTAAATCTCAGAGACATTGAAAATTGCCCCTATCATGATAAATTAGGAAGCGGTTCTTAAGGTAACTTAATCAGTATTTTACCTGAATTCAAGTATAACTTTATTCGTGTTTCATAGCAAAAATATAACGATTACCTTCTGCATCTCCAAGATATGCAAATGTAAGACTGTATAAAGCAGTTAATAAATGTGATAAAAATATTTCATACAAAAATATACCTAAATCTAATAACCTAAAAAATGTTTCCCATATTCATATCTAAAATGAAATAATAACCTAATGATAAATTAGCCAATTAGTGATATGAATGAGAGTAATGATTCATTTCTTAAAGAGTTAGAAAGCGGTATTTCTTGTGATTCTCATATGGATATTTTGTCAGAGACTGAGCTTACTGAATGTCTATCTTCCATTTCACATGAAAGATTTTACTTTTTGTTAATAGACTTTCTTGTATTTTTTTATTAATTTAAAAGTTTATTAATGTATTTTATCAATTAAAACTTTGGAATAATTTGATAGCGCTTCCGAAAATTATTTCTCAAAGTGAGGAATTGTTTTGGTATATTTTCAAGTAAAGTAAAGGAAAACGATATTTAAACGCTAATGTCAAAATGTATGATAGCTTAAAGAGCCATCATAAAGCATGCCATTCGGAAGTATTCCTTTCTCCTTATGTTTAAATAATCAAAAAACATGTATATGTGAGTTATGCTACTCTCATTTTGAGTAGTGGTCAAATCTACATGTATCTAACACCGTATGGACATACAATGCCACAATGTCATCTTGTGCCAACAGTTATAGTTTTTGAAACGTTCCAGGACACTGGCACAAATATGTGATGGCCGGCGGTGAACGAGAAAACGCTCTGTCACGCCAGCGGTCGGCCGGGAAACAGTGCGTTTCTTGCTGGCACGTATACGTGACAGTCGGCGCGAACGTGTTATAGACAAATTGTTGGTATTTTCCTAAACAAGATAAGTATGAGCCTTCCCAAAGATCATGTATAGGATAAAATTATGCTTCTAGCACTAGTAGTAGAAACTATCATCCTCACAGAGGTAATAATCAACATAGAAAACATTATAACAATCATAATAAACTAGCAAAGGGTTCTTGATAGACTTATAACAAGAATTTTAGATCCCTTGCAATAAAGTTTGGTGGCATAAAAAATAACATAACTGTCAAAACTCAGAAAATTTTCAAAAATATAACAATCAGAGTGCACATAAATCAGCAAAAAGCAAGGATAATGAAAATGTAGTCATTTCAAAATTGCTAATAATTAACGATAAATTGTTTACAATTTTTGAATGATTAATAATAAATGGGTGCAAAAACTTACGAAGCTCTTCTTGACACTAGTGCAAATTTATCTTTTTGCAATCAGATATTGATTCAGAAATGACAATTCGCTAAAATTGAATTTTTTTTTTGGTATGATAAAAATAAACATCAGTGATGACTCATCTACTCCTTACTTGTCTGCAGTAAATTTAAATTCAAAATTCAAAATAAATGGTTCACTAATTTAGTTTACGTTACCCGGAATAATTCGAATTCTTCTCACCAGATAATTCTAAGTTATATGTTCATTCAGAGCAATAAAATTTAACTGAAGTTAGTAAATGACAGACTAAAAGTTCACAATACTTATTAAGATTTTGAGGAAAGTTCTCTCAATCGAAAAGTATCTAATTCAGCTAATAAAATAAATAGGATTAACTTCAGTTTAAACAAAATCGGAATTGTTTCAATTATTGCTACTATTAAGTTTTCAAACATTTTTGCTTTGCACAAAAATATCAAACAAAATTTGACATTGATGAATCTTTGCATACGTTTCGTCGCTATAATCATATTCAGACCATCGTTGGAAATACTGCTAATTAGAAAGTAATCTTAAGAAAACATTCTGTGATTGGAACTGTTGCGCCATTGCATGTTGAGGATATTATCAACCCAAAATATCAACATGCTTTACAAATTAAGACATTGAATTTAGAAGAAGTAATTAAACCCAGAGGAATTTAATATGTCAGATTCTAGACTAGATAATTTAAATGTATAAGAAAAAAGTGAAATGATTAAATTATTAATAAATAACTATGCTAAATTTTTAAAGTCCTATAACACTTTAGGGCCAACTGATAAAGTTGTTCCAGAATTTAAACTTCTGCGAAAACTAGACCTTATCCCATTCCTAAAAATTGCCAAACAGTATTCTCAACAGGATATTGTAAAATTACTAGAAGCAGGTATGATGAAATTACCTTCTTCCATTTATAGTTTTCCTGTGACATTTGTCAGAAAAAAAGAATTTGTCTGGTCAGAATAATTACCTAATTTAACGCTTTTGCCTATTCAGCATTGGCCACTGCTAAGGCCAGAAGTAGTGGCGATTTTATTGTAGAGGCACCTAATATTCGGAAACCGTTGCCTCCTATGAAAGGATAGATAGTTACAACCATGCCTTCTCCGGGATTGGAGCCCGTGCCCTTGGATGCCCCAGACTAGTCTACCCTAACTACTATACCATCTGGACGGCCTCTTGAGAATAATAATAAGCCAACATTTCTCATGGTTGTTGATTAGCATTCCTTGAATAGCATCACTGAATCTTACAAAATTTGCTAAAACATTTCTTAGAATTTAGACAACAATGCTAGTAGAAAACAGTATTGTATACCCGACATAAAATCAGCATTCTTTCAAATTAAATTACAAGATTCTAATAAAGAAAATTTGGCATTTTGCAGTGAGCTTAGGAATTTTCATCCTAATAGACTTTCTTTTGGGTATCGTAATAGTACTTCTTATTTCCACACGTAAATTTCAAAATGTCTAAATGGCATTAAAGATAGAAATGTCCGATTCTTTCTTCATGACATTATTGTCGCTGCTGATAGTTTAAGCGAGTTGAAGATGATTCTCCAAAAAGTATTTGATAGATTGAAGTCTTTTAAGTTAAATTTGTATCCAGGTAAACTGCAACTTTGCAAATCTAAAAACTTATGTGGGTTTTAATATCTCCAAAGAAGATTCTGCTCTTTAGAAAATAACGCAAAGTTTTCTAAATTTCCTATTCCTAAGGATGTGTGCCACCGTTACACTACGAAAGAATCCATTTTTAAAGGGCGACTGGAGCTAGGGAACCCAATCGCCAAATTCTGATGGTGAAGAATCATTATTCACTACCTTTTTAGTTCGGGCGCCACTGTAAGAGCGTTAGTTTTTTTTTTTTTTTTTTTAAAGCAGAAGATTTGAAAAATATGCCTCTCGAATACTCGCAGAGTGTGCTACCGTTACACCACGAAGACATGCAGAAATGAGAGAGAAAATATTTTATAGACTTGCATTCTGTTTTATTTTATTATACATAAAAGGAACGAAACTTTATTTTTATTGCTGAAATTGCGATGTCGTATTTTGTTTGAAACTGGAATGAATGTTATTCAGTTGTCACTTCTCTCTTTCTCGAATATTTAGTTTATTTTTCTATTTCGAAATGCAGCCCATTCTTCCTAAAACGACCATCTACGATACAGCTTCATGTTTATGTGCTAAGAATCACAGGTCCATCAATGAGGTAGTTCTGATTGGGAGAGAGCCACGCCCGTATCGTAAGTCACTAGAGCTTTCTGCTACTAAATAAATACTTAATAATTTTTTTAAAAAAGTGTTTTTCTCTACTCCTCAGCTTAGTAATTGAGGAAGGAGCTCCGGATTTGACAAATGACAAAGATTATATGAAAAGATGACGCTGATAGAAGTTAATAGAAAAACAAATGTAACAACAGTTTCGATAAATATATCAATTCTATAGATAGTAGATAATTATTTAATTTAGAAATCTCGTCGCAAAAGGGCAAAATGTATTCAAAACCACATATGTCACAAGAAAAATATACAGAGTCTAGAGTTTATTTTTCCTGCATATTTGTTTTCTTACTTGAAACTATCATTTTGTGCATATTTTAGCCAGTACACGGTTGGGTATTTGCTGTGTTAACAGATAGATAAGCTAGAAAAAAGCTTGCACTGAAATAGATCAGTACAGTATGACTCCCATTCTACTCCTATTTCTTTTTAAATTGACCTCTGACACGTAGAAAAATCCTTATAATTGCTTCTTAAAAGTATATTACCCATGACTGTTACTGGCAGTAATCCCACACGAGCATGAATGATTTCCAGAAGGTCGCAGCTCATTTTGTCATTTGCGATATGGAGGTGGTGGGGGCGGAAAAATAAAGGAAAATCCATCTTTCCAATCTTTTTAAAAAGCAGCGAACTGGCTGGTGTCGACAGGTGGCTGGAACCGCAGTGTACATGTAGTGGCATCACGTGAATGCCACCAGGTAGCGCTGTCACTGTCCACCTTCTCACGGTCATGTCGGATCCCGCCGCTTGGCAGAGTTGCTCCCCGAGTTAACGAGGAGCGTATCTATGTCTCCGGACAGTGGGTTCCGTTAACGCTGCTGCCCTGGCGGGTTCCGGTGGCCTCAGGTCAGTCAGTCTACTTTCTTTCTCGCGTTGCGCGTGCTGTCTCTAAATGGCACAAACAAGCGCTTTCCAATGGATATTTTCATGTCTTAAAGTACCACTTAGATAAAAATCAGTCTATGGAATAATAATCATGTTCGGATGCAAAAGAGATGCGAGTTGATTTATTTTGAAAACGTAAAAAATAACTGAAATGGTTGTTATGTACACTGGAGAGAAATATTAATACTTGCGTGAATACTTTTGTGTTGTTAAATATTATCGAAATACAATAGGTTTCATAAAAGTATTAAACAATACATTCTTACGTCTGTATCATAAATTATTTATTAACGTCAATTTTAATAAGCACTTAAGAACAGAAACGTTAAAAGAATTGATAAATAGTAAATAAGCGATATAAAGAAAAAACGCACTTTTATAATTTTTAATTTCGATGATTTTAGTCTAAAAGTATATTAAATAGTGACGATGGGTTAATAGTATAACATTTTCCACGCTGATCTAATGAATGATCCTTAAATAACTTTCCATACTTCAAAACATTTATAAATTTATTAAAATTTTTCCTAAAACAAAATACAAAACTTTGCAGAGTAAGAACAGTAATCTATCAAACAAACAATAACCGTGAAGAAAATATGCATTTATATTTCGGTGCAAAAAAAACTATAAATCTCCGACCTATCTTAATGGTAAATTGAGCTTAAATGAATACATTTTAAGCAAACAATCTACTATTTTAATAACAGATGTCAAAAGAATTTGTGTCAGTTTAAGTATTTTGTGAATTTCGTGTTAAATGGTAAACTCTATCAAAATGAATTATATACCCTTTGAATGACCTCTGAAAATAGAAAAATGATTTTTATGTAATTATTACGTAGTTTAATAATACACATGTTCTTTATTTATCATATGATCGCTTTGATCACATGTTTTTTATTTATTAAAAGTTTGCAATGAAATTAGTTCAACATTTTAATTTTCAATAAAATGATTATAATAAACTTGAACTGTGCAAAATTTGAAATGAGCATAGTTATAATAAATGTTTGTATATACATCTGAAAGTTATTTATGTTATGAGAAATTATCCATGATTTAAAAATTTTGTGCTTATGCACTTTATTATGCGTCGAGGAAAGAAAGCGTTGTTTAGAATAATTTATCTTTTGAGTTTTAATATTAATACACATAGTTTTCATTTTTAAAATTTCAGTTGCAGATTAGCCTAAGCCAGGAAGGAAAAAACACAATTTAATGATCCAAAATATTTTAGCATCCGAATTTTCTTACTCAGTTATTGGCAGACATATACAATCCTTCTTTTACTAAATGGAAAATAAATCTTTCAGTTTTAAAAGTAATGCTTAAAAAATTATTTCCCGGAAGAAAAGCTTTATTTTTGCTTACTTGACAAACAAACGATTGAATATTTATGTTACCTAGCGACTTTTACACACAGCATTCTGCAGTGAAGCGTAAATATAGGCGACACAATCCAAAATTCATTGGGAGATGGCAAATTGCCAGTACAACAACGGCAAACTTCTTTTCATTTGTATGGTAAAAAAGGAACTATTTTCGCATTCTTTAACATATGGTCGCTTATTTATTTAAAGTTACGAAATTCTAATGCGTGCAAAAATATTTTAAATATTATTAATTAATTTTTTAGAGAACATGTTTTAAGAAATGATCCAAAGGAGGATACTTTTATTCACTTTATATTTGTAGGTCACCTTTTGAGCTGATGTTTATATCTAAAATTGTTTCTTGTAGTTACACATACGGCACACAGCCACTGACCTAGTTAATAATCGTAATTTCATCTCAGGGTCAGTTTCGTTAGTTAGTGAGCATGTATAAATTTTGCTTTCATACCGCTTGAGTATTTGTCTGAAAGAATTATCATTCAAAGTGTAGCAGATTCTTTCCTTAAATTATTAAAAGTCTATAACGAATTAATTAACGTGTAAGGCGCAAACAACTGCGAAAATTATGTTTAATATGAGAAAAACAGATGTGAGAAACATCCCCATTAGATCAGTTAAAGGAGACTAATATGTTTGCTTAAGATACACCGAATTCAAGGGAAAATACACAAATATTTATATTACATATAAATTAATTCTTTATAAAAAGAGTTATTTTCTTCCTTTTTAACATATGTTTTCCTTAACAAACTTTGAGATCCTGTAATATATAGCGAGAAAATAGCATAGATAGACGCAGATAATGACATTCTGTAGCATTGCCTAAATTGACACCTTTTTTAAATGCTGAAACCATGAAATGTCTTTAAATGGTGACAGGTAATAAGATATTTATGATGAACACTACAGTTAAATAACATTCTGTAGCTCCCAATCTTAACCATCATGATCGACTGAACACACGAAGGTTTCATGCACTGTTTCAAGAGGTATTTCTTAGTAAATTTCTTGAAATCCATTCCGTTATTCCCGGGGGTAAACTAGACCGACGAGAGCAGCAGTTACTCAGTTGTTCAGTTCAGCTTAAGTCCGGTGTACTGAGATAGCACCATGTTAGCTTCGCTATTTAGATGCGCTTTGCACTGCGTTGTGTTTAACATTCGTAGTAGTTTGAAGTGTAACTATTGTGTGATTCTGTGAAGAGCTGTAAAAGTATATTTGTGGAAAGTTCCAGTATTGTGAAATGTTTCTTTTGCTAAAATAAATTGTATCCATCTATCATCACTTCTGTGCGCATTTAATCTGTTACGAACCTGTACGCTCGCAACAATATAAATATAAGTAGAAAGGTTGGTAATGTAAGACATTATATAAAAATGTGTAAGGTGTGAACATGTAAGTATTGCTATGTCATTAATTATACGTTCATGAATGTCCTCTCACGGAGGGAATGCACATTCCGTTCCCGCAGACGAACAGAAAGGCATTCAACAGATTTATGGTCAAGCAGCGACACCAGACCAACAAAATTACTCATATACTTGATAAGCTAATGGACATGGGTCCAGACTTATGCCATGTGTAAATATAACTGGTCAGTATGTCAGCAAATTTCAATGTAAATCAGTATCATTCAAGCATAAATAATCTAGGTATATCTGCGATGTGTGTATATAGTGTGGGCAAGCGTGTCCTAATGTATGTTTTATTATTATTATTATTATTATTATTATTATATTTTATTTATTTTATTTTTATTTTTATTGTGCTAAGTGTATATACTAGCTCTGTCTTATTATTCCAAAGCAAATTAAGGTAATGTCATGTAGGTATTTAGAAAGTATATGTATGTAACAGTACTGGATTGCATGTCAGCAAATATGTATTAACAGAAGCATGTAAATAACTACTAATGTATATCTGCTCTTGTTTAGCCATGTACAATGCTATTCTTGAAGATTCAAAATCACTGGACCCGGGCACTTTGGACGGGTGTCTACCCCATGGAGGTAGGAAAGGGAGGAGGGGCCATTTCGCACTAGAAGTGAAGCACTGCTTTGAAGCTTGGGTCACCAGACGGGGTGTTTTTTGTTTACATTCAGAAGCTCGCTTGACAAAATTCTGATAGAATTTCGACACACGACAATTCCATAGAAATCGAAAAAGGGACACTCTCGCATGAAAGAAACATTCATAGTGTGATGGATAATAGCAATTTGTATAGTTTACTGACATTTACGCAAAAATCACATCTTGGTTATTTTTCGATAATTAACAACAGCGGTTTTGATTATGAATTTGTTTTATAAAATTCTAAGCTGTTGCACTACAAAAATATAGATTTTAAGAAAATTGCTAAAAGAGATCTGCCAAAATTTATTTTCTAGAAGATTTGAAAAGTTTGAAACTTGATGGCTAAATGTAAATATAAAATTATGTATGTTAAAATATTCGTAATTAGGCACATAGGTCAGATTAAGTTTTTATTAAATAGAGTAACGCATGCAAGGGCTATTTACCTAAAGAGAGAGATGCCATCGTGGGGGAATTTTGAAGAAAAACTGACCTTTGAGTGGGTATTAAAAATAATACTTATAATTTTCATTCAAATTATATTCATATATATTTTTTATGTAAAACTTTCGGGTGTATGCTAAATTAGTGTAAATTACTTTACACGAAAAATATAGTGAATGCACAGAAATTAAAGATTTGCACATGCCGGAAATGATAAATAGGAAATATGTATGGGTATTTATGCATGTCCTTGCAAAAAGCATGTATCTGCCTTTGACAAAATACTTAAATATTCATTAAATTATTTATAAATGTATTTGAAATGAAGAATTTATTCACTTATAAACAACTGTGATAGTACTGTGAAGAAATCTAATGATTAAATGTATCTAATTTATAATGATTATAAATGTTATCTAAATATATAATAACCTTAATATTGAATTGTAAACATAAATTGAAATCCTGTTGACAAATACGTTATAAAACTATTTAAGCAAGAATTGTTCGTATTGGAAAGCAATCTGTTAAAAGGTATTGTAAAGCAAATGCTATGAGATGCGCACTTAAGAACGTAATAAAGAGTTTTGGAATATGTATTGTTGAAATGAAGGGTAAAAAAAAATCTGATAAGTATAATTAAAAGAATTATTCCCTTTACATTTTATAATAACTCAGTTACAAGTTTTAAATAATACTTAGAAAAAAAAAATTATTTTATTCCCTTTCAGAAATGTTCAGAGAAAGTCAAATACTATTTTCCTAATAATTCTCTAATTTAAAATGAACCGAATAGATCATTAATTATAAATTGACTTACATTTTTCGATTTAAAAGAAGCCAAAAAATCATGTCATATTTAAGAAAGTATTTTAGGAAGAAGCTCTATAAATAGAAAAGAAATAATGCATAATTTTAATATTAATAATACAATAAACTTTGATCTTAATTTTTGTACCTTAACCGAATAAAATCGAATTACCTTAATTTTTTTTTTCTAATGTAATTAACGAAAACTTGTGAAAATATTTCATTCAAATTAAACCA